TCAGAGAGGCGGAGAAGAGGCAGCTGCTGGACCTGCCAATCTCCCAAACGTCACTCTTCGGTCCGGAGATGCAGACGCTGATGACGAGGCTGGACACCGCAGCTAAGGACTCTGCTAGCCTAGCCAAGCATCTAGCTGCGAGACGCGAGGCCCGCCCACCAGCGCGGAGCCGAGACAGAGGCAGGGAGCGCTCGCCCGGCAGGCGCCCCGGACCATATCCACGCTCCGTGGTCCATCGTTCCCCAGCGACGAGACCCCCGGGCCCAGACAGGCACACGGGAGGTTCGCGGGACCAACACACCCACCGACGACCTCCCTATGGCAGAGGAGGTCGGGGTGGGAAAAATGTTTTCAATAAAGGCCGTCCGGCATTTCATCAGTACTCGCTGTCTGAGTCTCATTTGGGGGTATGTAACATGTCAAATGATTTGAATTCTGATTGTGTTACTTCTCGAGCATATAACGTGGCTCCGCTAGGCCTGCAGCCCCCAGAGAAGGGCGTGCAGCGCGCTACGCGGGCCACGGGCTCCGATTCACGGGTTCATGTTTTGCCCTCCCGGAGAGAGGGCAGGCGGAGGGATCTGGTAAGTGATAATGTGTGTGCTCCAGCCGAACGCGTGTTAGCATCTCTGAGCTACTAGGCTAACACGGGGTTTCCCAATCCAGGGGCTCGTCCCCCCCTCCATGAGGCAAGAGCCAGGGGGGGGCACAGCAGCCGAGTCACGTGTGGTGAACAGTCCCGTACTTATGACGTCGGGCCTGCAGAACACGTGACCGCCCTCGGCGCTCACGGTGTGACGCAGGGGCCCCCCCGGCCCTTTCAGCCACCCCCCCTCCCTGCTAGGAACACCAGGAGGGGGCGGGGCCGTGACGTCTCGTGTTCCAACTCCCGTTCCGCCCCTCACAGATTTCTACAGCATCTGGAAGGAGCAGGGCCTACTGACAGATATTTGGCTGGAGAAAACTCTGCGCAGAGGTTACGCGCTGCAATTTTTCCGAAAGCCACCACCATTCCGAGGCGTACGGGCAGTACGCTCTCAGGTACGGGGATCGACAGAGGCACTGCAAGCGGAGGTCTCCTCTCTGCTGAGTCGAGGCGCAGCAGTGGAGGTAGACCCGCAGGACGCCACCAGGGGGCTGTACTCCCCTTACTTCTTAGTGCCAAAGAAATCAGGCGGGGTGCGTCCCATTCTGGATCTGCGCGTGTTAAACGAGTGCATTTCCAAACGGCAGTTTCGGATGCTGTCCACAAGGCAGCTCCTCGAGTGTGTCAGGGAAGGAGACTGGATGACTTCCATAGACCTGACAGACGCATACTTCCACGTGCCCATAGTGCCAGAACACAGGAGGTTTCTGCGCTTCGCAGTGGGAGAGAGGAATTACGAGTACTGCCGTCTCCCCTTCGGGTACGCACTCGCGCCTCGCACCTTTTCCAAATGTGTGGAAGCAGCTCTGGAGCCGATCAGACGTGCGGGGGTAAGAATATTAACCTATATAGACGATTGGTTAATACTGGCCCCATCCAGGGAAGTGGCCGTGAGCCACACGCACTGGGTCCTGTCCCACATACAGCGTCTGGGCTTTGTGGTGAACAGGGAGAAAAGCAAGCTGCAGCCAGCCCAACGCATGGTTTACCTCGGTCTGCAGCTAGACTCTGTGATATTCCGTGCTGCATTGTCCGTGGACAGACGGATGAGTGTTACCCGTCTGGCCCGGGAGGTTCTGGCGGGCCCCAGAGTCCCCGCTCGGCGCCTCAGGTCCCTGCTGGGAATGATGGCAGCGGCTCATGCTGTGGTGCGGCTAGGCCTGCTCCACATGAGAAATTTTCAGAGGTGGTTCTCGCGCCTCAGGCTTCACCCCTCCCGGGACGGGGGGAGGCTGATCTGGGTTCCCCAAGGGGCAGCATCGGACATCAGGTTCTGGCTCACTCCGGGTCTATTGCGGGACGGAGTGACTCTGGCCTGCGCTGTGTCTCACGTCGAGGTGTTCACGGACGCGTCGCTCGAAGGATGGGGCGGGGTCCTCGGCCAGAGCTCTGTAGGAGGCTGCTGGTCGGACTCAGCCCGTCACATCAACCTGCTGGAGATGGAGGCAGTGCACAGAGTACTGCTGCACTTTGCCCCTCAGCTGCAGGGGAGACACGTGATGGTGCGCTCAGACAACACCACAGTGGTCTCCTATCTGAACAGGCAGGGGGGCACCAGGTCCCCCGCTCTCCATCGCATGGCGACGGTGACGCTGCTGTGGGCGGCGCTTCACCTCCTGTCTCTCAGGGCGCGCCACGTCCCGGGGGTCCGGAACGTGGGAGCCGACAGAATGTCCAGGGGGGGCCCACTCCAGGACGAGTGGGGCCTGGCCCCACGGGTAGCTGCGGAGATCTGGCGGAGGTTCGGCCGTCCAGTAGTCGACCTTTTCGGCAGTGCAGAGAACGCACAGTGCCCGTCCTGGTTCGCCTTAAGGGCCGCGGACGAGCCGCCTTTAGGCGTGGACGCTCTGGCTCATTACCCATGGCCAGGCGGCCTGTTGTACGCTTTCCCACCGGTGCGTCTCCTGCCGGTCCTGCTGCGGAGGATCGAACAGGAGAGGAGATCGGTGATTCTGGTGGCTCCGGACAGTCCGCATGCCCGGTGGTTCCCCTTCCTGAGGGGCATGGCGGTGATGGAGCCCTGGGCCCTCCCGGACGAGCCGGGGGCTCTAGTCCAGGGGGCAGGAGCCCTGTTTTCACGTCCGATAATCGGCCGCAGGCTCTGGGTTTGGAGGTTGAGAGGCGGAGCCTCGTAGATCTGGGTCTTCCCCCTGCGGTGGTGGAGACTATTCAGGGAGCGAGGGCGCCGTCCACCGTGAGGGCCTACGCCACGAGGTGGAGGCTATTCAGTGTCTGGTGCGATTCCCGTTCCTGGGATCCCAGGTGTTGCCCGCTGGAGGGGGTCCTGGGATTCCTACAGGAGCTTTTCGACAAGGGGAGGGCTGTCGCTACCTTGGCGGTGTTTGCGGCAGCCATTACTTCGGGTCACGACGGGTTCGGGGGGTTCACAGCCCGCTCTCACCCGTTGGTTAAACGTTTTCTGCGGGGGGCGCGCAGGAGGAGGCCCCCGCTCCAGAGAACGCCTCCGGTTTGGGACCTCAGGGTGGTCCTTAGGGGGCTGTCGGGTTCGCCTTTTGAACCGGCGGCGGAGGCGAGTCCCGAGTGTATCGCTTTTAAGACTGCCCTCTTACTGGCGTTGGCGTCTGCTAAGAGGGCGGGCGATTTGTGTGCGCTCTCCGTCCATGCGTCGTGCCTGTCCTTTGGAGAGGACGACGGCATGGTGGAGTTGTGGCCCAATCCGGCTTTTCTCCCCAAGGTCATCACGTCGGCCTTTAGGTCGAGAGTGATCAGGATTAGGGCTTTCCACCCGCCGCCGCATGCCTCCCCCGAGGAGGAGCGGCAGCACCTTCTGTGTCCTGTCAGAATGCTGAGGCATTACCTGGCCATGACGTCGTCATTCAGGTCGGGTGATCAGCTGTTTGTGTGTCTGGGCCCCAAGAACAGGGGCGCCCCGCTGTCGGCTCAGCGGCTGGCGCATTGGGTCGCCGCGGCGGTGCGACGGGCGTATCAGACGCAGGGCCTGGCCCCCGCGGTGGGTTTCAGGTCGCATTCCACGCGTGGGATGGCGGCCTCTACGGCCCTTCTCAGGGGGGCGTCGGTCGAGGACGTTTGCCGTGCGGCTTCTTGGGCGTCGTCCTCCTCTTTCGTCCGGTCTTATCTTTCGGATGTGTCGGACCGGTCGGTGGCCCATTCCGTGCTGAGTGCAGCGGATTGAGTTAGACCGTTGGGTCCCTCCCCTGAGGGGTGGGCCTTCGGTCTAGTTTCCGCCCTGGTGCAGGAGCTCTTGGGAGAGGCATCCTACAGGTGCGGTACATTGTGTGTGTGGTCGGTCTGGTAGTCCACGTCAGGAGCTCTTGGGAGAGGCGTCCTGTGATTACGGATGACCTACGGCTTGTGTTACGTGGGGGTATCCTTGGTAGGAGTGGCCCCGCAACACGCTTGTTCTTCTGCCCTGAGTTCTCTCACGTTGTGAGGGTCTTACTCGGGCGGAGCTCCAATCACCCTTCGCTGGCCTGCTGGGAGTACATTTTCCTACGGCCTCCGCGTTGTGTCCCACTAGCGAAGTCCTAAGGGACGTAGCACCATGACGTAGAATTAATAGTTACTTAATGTAACTTAAGTTCTACGAATAGGTGCGTAGTCCCTTAGCTACGAGCCCATCAGGCCAGCCCGGCTTGGCAGAGTTCAAGAGGGGGTGCGGCCTTGTGCAGGGGCATTTATAGAGGAAGGTGGCTGGTGATTGGAGCAAATTATTTTGATCTCTCTGGCGTGTGACCTGGGGGTCACGTGATATCCCACTAGCGAAGTCCTAAGGGACTACGCACCTATTCGTAGAACTTAAGTTACATTAAGTAACTATTAAATATACATTATTAATGTATGTAATGTAGCGATCGCGGCAAACCAGGAAGTGCTATTATCATGAATTGCACATTATAGGACACATCTGCAGAGGATCTGATTATGGATATAGGTTCAGTATATACATAAGTACCTCAGCGCGGATGTTCAGAATTCTTTGTTCAGTTTTCATGTTGTTCCAGAGCCTAATAGAGGCTTGATTCGGAGGCTCCGCGAAAACAAACAACTGAGCATGCGCGCAGCTGCGAGCATCAGCGCTGATGATTGACAGCCCTTGGCATGACTCGATTGGTTAACCTCGACGGCATCGTGGATTCTGAGCTATAGCTAAGAGAAGGGAAGGCGGGACTTGCCCGTAATATTAGAATTAATAAAATGACTTATTTTATATCAACAATTAAGACCAGGAGGTCAATTTAACACATTTCCTAAAATTTGTAATTCATTTAGAGTTACAGACTATCACTTTAACATAGAAAATCTCCATATAATGATAATATAATAAAGAACGTGGTGAACCACACTAGCAAAGCTAGATAGCTTGAGAACTTACCGGTTCCCATGTCAAACATGACGGGCATCTGAGGCTGTCGGATCTCGATGGGAAACACCGCTTTATAGTTCTCAAAGGAAAATGAAACTAAAACAGAGGAATAAATACAATTCACTATAAGACTAGGTAATTCAAAAACCATATATTTTGTTCAGAGATGTAGGGTCAGAGAGTGTTTGGGCCTGTGTGGTCCCTGAGTGAATATGTATCTATGTGATTTTGAATTCTACTGCATGATACCATATGGGTTGCATTGTGTATCATGTGTGACGGGTGGAATAAAATAAGAATTTGCTTCATCTAATCTCTTTTCGACCATGGATATTTTTTAATTGTACATATTGTGCAAATTAGATTTGCACAATATGGCTCCTGATTGGTCCGTTGTTAGGGCTCATGTCTGGAGTTAGTGGACAATATCACAATATAAACATGAGGATCGAGGTGAGCGCAAAATCAGATTTTTATGACCGAAAATGGTGAGTGTGACACAAACGGTTACTGAACTAGGGGAGTTAAAAACTTCATCCACAAGCACTTCCCAATCTACTACAAATGTTGACGTGATGATTGTGTTTGGGACATACCCAGATCCCCCGTGTGGATTTCATAGACAGTGCTTTTGTAGGACACTGAAGACAGAGCCTTGTTCAGGGCGGACAAACTGTTGGACTGCACTGACAGATGGTCCGTTGTGTCGCCTGCAAACCACAAGAATATGTTATATCTATTGTTCCATCGGTACCAAACAATATATTCCCACTGAGCCAAACCACGGATTTCTGTCGCAAAAACCCTGGGTAGCCTCTGTCTTACACACTGAGCAACACGAGCTGGCGTGTCAGAACATCTCAGCATTTTACCAATTTGGTCAAAAGAGGTAGTCTTTTTAGTTGGATTTCATGATAAAATTGAACAACCTTTTAATTGATTATTTGACACAAAACACAATTTAAGTGAAATTTAGTAAAACAACAAAACTAGAATGTTTTTGGCATGTTTTAACACATTACTACTGCTTCAAACAGAGTGGTTGACCAGCGAACGACGAGTTGTTGTAGTTACTTATATAAACGCACAGAGTGGTGTCATGACTATTGATTCAAGAAGTACCGGATTCAGCACTGATTTTTTTTTCAACAAAGCAGTAGAAAATCAGCTTTGATGGATGTAGCCCAAGCAATACATTCTGGGTTCTAAAAGATCCAGTCTGGAAGGTTTGAAAGACACTCCACTCTTATCTATCTCACATTCCTCTGGCAAGGCCGAAGATAACATGGACTTCTCCAATCTACAACAAACCTCACACTTTTACAGCTACCCAGCTTTGGACGCCCCCCCCCCCCCCGTCCGCTCCTCTCCCCCTCCCTACTCCCTTCTCCCTCCCTCCTCACTCCCTCTAAGTCTTGACGCCCCCTCCCCCCCACCTAGCCCCCTCTGACAGCCCACATTGGCGAACGGGTGGCCGGAGTTTATTTCCGCAATAAAAACGTCCGTGTTTTATCCAAAACATAATGTGTCTTATCCAAACTGTCTTGTGATATGTATGTTACTGCTCTCTGCTGTTTATTCTGCTGTTTGTCGCATGGCGCCGTAAAGATGGCGCCGTGGCAAGAACTCTGGTGTGTGTTGTCTTCTCTGTCTGGTGCACACTGGGGTAGTCTTGCAGTTTTTCCAATGTGGTTTTACTGCAAATGGCTAATAAATGAATCTGAATCTGATGATTGCCTTCATACATCACAGTGAAATATAGGTTAAAGCAAAAAGGTTCACGCCCACTGTGGAGCAAACTAGTCATAACATTGCAATTACAGATTACAAAGTAGAATGAAACCGGCTGATGCATCAGACTGGCCAAACAAGTCGAACTACTAATACAATAACTTGCTGGTAGTTTGTCAAAGAAGTCGGCAAAAGTTGATGTTATTTTAAATATTTAGGCCAAACTGACCTGAAACAGTGACGTCTGTGATGAGAGAGTTCACGCTGAAGACACCTTTGCTCCCCTTTAAGCTCACCTATAATTAAAAACAGCATCAATTGTGTTCATTTTTGTTCATAAAGAAGATCTGGAGAATATTGCTGTTTATGCTTCGCAAATATTCCTGATTTTAGGAAGCACATGTAGAGCCACAATCCACTGACAAGGCCAGAGACCAAATCATCATACCAGACCTGATTGATCTAGACCCAAGACCTGGTCCAGACTCAAGACTTTTGTATGTAACAAAAGTAAAACTACTCCTGCTCCGGGCAAAATAAGGGATTGCAGTATCATACTATGGGGTGTCTTTCTTCAGCGGGGACATATCTAAAATTATATATAATTTTCCAGTCTGTTTTTGTCTTATTTCAGTGACATTTCCAAAATAAAATATTTATGATGGTGGTAAATACTTCCTTCTGTCCCTCTTACAAACACACACACACCACACACACACACACACACACACACACACCCTTTCCTAGCTGGATGTAGTAGTAGTTCATAATTTATATTGCTAGGAAGCTTGTATGTTGATGTATAATACTGTATGTAAGGCAAGGCAATGCAAGTTTATTTATATAGAATTATAGACATTTACCTTGTAGTCTCTTTTCTCTTCTGCATACACCGCTAAACCTGTATGGCAACCAAATGACATGTAAATGAGTTAACCATTTTAGGTATACAGTGCCTTGCGAAAGTATTTGGCCCCCTTGAACCTTCCAACATTTCGCCACATTTCAGGCTTCAAACATAAAGATATAAAATTTAAATTTTTTGTCATGAATCAACAACAAGTGGGACACAATCGTGAAGTGGAACGAAATGTATTGGATAATTAAAACTTTTTTAACAAATAAAAACTGAAAAGGGGGGCGTGCAATATTATTCGGCCCCTTTACTTTCAGTGCAGCAAACTCACTCCAGAAGTTCAGTGAGGATCTTTGAATGATCCAATGTTGTCCTAAATGACTGATGATGATAAATAGAATGCACCTGTGTGTAATCAAGTCTCCGTATAAATGCACCTGCTCTTTGATAGTCTCAGGGTTCTGTTTAAAGCGCAGAGAGAACCATGAAGACAAAGGAACACACCAGGCAGGTCCGAGATACTATTGTGGAGAAGTTTAAAGCCGGATTTGGATACAAAAAGATTTCCCAAGCTTTAAACATCTCAAGGAGCACTGTGCAAGCAATTATATTGAAATGGAAGGAGTATCAGACCACTGCAAATCTACCAAGACCCGGCCGTCCCTCCAAACTTTCATTTCAAACAAGGAGAAGACTGATCAGAGATGCAGCCAAGAGGCTCATGATCACTCTGGATGAACTGCAGATAACTAGAGCTGAGGTGGGAGAGTCTGTCCATAGGACAACAATCAGTCATGCACTGCACAAATCTGGCTTTTATGGAAGAGTGGCAAGAAGAAAGCCATTTCTCAAAGATATCCATAAAAAGTCTCGTTTAAAGTTTGCCGCAAGCCACCTGGGAGACACACCAAACATGTGGAAGAAGGTGCTCTGGTCAGATTAAACCAAAATCGAACTTTTTGGCCACAATGCAAAACGATATGTTTGGCGTCAAAACTGTATAATATTACTAGGGCTGTCAAACAATTAAAATTTTTAATCGAGTTAATTACAGCTTAAAAATTAATTAATCGTAATCGCATTTCGAACTATCGGCAAAATGATGCCATTTTTTCTGTAAATGTTTGTTTGAATGGAAGGATAAATGATGACATAGTGTACATGTGTACTGTTTTTTTTATTATAACAATAAATCCACATAAAATGGCATCAACATTATTAACATTCTGTCTTTTTGTAGTAGACACTATTTTTTCATCTCAACATATTCCGCCTCTGCTAAAGCCTCCTCTTTCTTCTTCTTCTTCTCTGTCTGTGGCTGTGGATGCTCTTCATTATTGTCTCTACAAACTATTGTTTGTTACAGGGATGAGGGATATTTGAAAAAAGTCTGAAATGCATGTCAGCCAATGGCTGTAATTAACTGTTTTATTTGCTCACAACATTTCATTTTTGGCCACAAATAACATGAAATGGTAGTGCAAAGGAAAAGTTAGGTATCCCAGCTTTAATTTAGCATCTTTTTTGCTTCGGGATAAGACACGGGGGAGACGGAGGGTTTCTTGCAGCACTGTTTTTATTGGGTGCACTGGTCACGCCTGTGCGTGATCAGTGCACACAGTGGTCCTGTGCGTGTGTATGGCATTGGGTACATGGCCACGTAAGGCTACGCGTTCCCGTGCTGTTAATGGTGCTTTCAGACCGGATCATGCGTTGCGTCGGGTTTCAATGCAAAGTCTATAGTGACGCGCGTTCGACCGTCACAACGCACGGACTTCTCGGCACGCACGAACAGACTGTTCAATAATGACGCACGGACTTGGCGGGAAAGTGAAAAGGGAGGAGCAGGAGCGAAAAATCAACGCCCACAGGAGATGGATTCTGCTCATCCTTTCCTTGGGACGTTCGTGCGATAACCAATCAGAGAGCAGCAAAGTGGTCACGGGGACATTAGCGGACTGAGCGAGCAGACTGAAAATACTCGTAAACAGCTTAAACAGGACCCACACCAGGCTTCACCAGAACTCAAACCAGGGTTGACAATGGGGGATTCTGTGCTTGTGAAAATATGCGTTGTCATGCTCCCATGACCTTATGCAACGGCTTCGAGTGTGTTCGCCGATGCGGAAATTCCGTTTAATAATATGAAAAAACGTATGGCGCACCTCCGTGAACACATACTACTGTTATATAAAGCCCGTGGAATGTCTGTGAGCAAAGACACGCTGCAAAGCTGCATATTGGAGAAGATCTGTACACAAGAAGCCGCTAGCATAGCTCTGTTAGCATTAGAGCCGGCGTCAGGACGTTCCGGTGTGAAGTCCTCTGCGTCTGAAAACTAGAGAATGCGCGTCTGGTGAGCGGGGCTTCCGCGTTTCAGCGTTGGCGGTCTGAAAGCACCATAAGCCGCTCACAGCTGCTGGACGCGGGAGCCGCTGTCCAAAGTGGCCGCAGCTGTCCCAGAACGCTGCGGACTCCCATTCACAGTAATTGCCCCTCGGTCACGCGCGCGGGGTGCCAGTTACTTGGCACATGCGTTAAAAGCGTTAATTTTTTAACGCAATTAATGATACAAATTAATTAACGCACGTTAACGCAATAATTTTGACAGCCCTAAATATTATATATTGTTATATGGTATATTCACTATTAAAAATGAGGAGATCCCTTATTGGTATCACAGTGGGGAAATTTCACTGTTGTATTATCGGTTGCAGAAGAGTAGGAATGATAAAGAACAATAACTCTATACTAAAATAAAAAATAAAAAAACATCTAACCTTGGCATAGCAAAGTATAGAAGCAAGTATAAAATAAAAATGATTCCCTCCTGCCCAAGAATCCAAGGTGCTGTTTACAGTAAAAATGTATCGAATTGGCCTTTTGTTTACATTAAGACGATGTTTCAAGGGGGTGAAAACACAAGCGTTGAGAAAAAGCCTTCAGAGTGGAAAAAAAGGGTGAATTCTCTGCTGCAATGACCTCACCGCTTCCCTCTACATTTGGACCACACGTGGTCAACTAATTCCACGTGTGCTTTGAGCGCTACAAGGACATTCTATTCCTTCATTCGTCCAAACAAAACCAGGTAAAGCTTCAGTTTCCATTTTTGCAGCTGCTGTAAATGCAGAATGATGTTGGTGCATTCTTTCACGTCTTTGAAGTGGCCTGAGGAGGATGTTGTTGAGGAAGTGAATATACTGCTGGGGCCGTGCGTGCCATGTTGTAAAGATCCACTGCCCACTACGTACTGGCCGGGCGCTTTATGAGATGTGTTCTTCCAAATGTTTTAAGCAATCCACTCTTTCCACTGGGGACAGCTTGAGGGCGGTGGCTCCCTTGCTTGTTCCTGCAGTCCATTATGAGTTCAAAAAATTGTTATTTTTGCACCAGTCTATCAAATGATCTCTGATCCATAGAGACCATAAAATTGACATTTTATCAACGGAGATCAGACCTATGGCTGCTGTGTTGTCTGCGAACATAACAATAGGGATGGAGTCAGATGTAGAAATACAGTTGGAGGTGTAAAGTGAACAGGCAGAGGGGGATCAATACATTCCCCTGCGGTGTACCAGACTGAGACATGGGGATGCCATCAGTAAAAAAGTCCAGGGAGATGCCGAGTGATCCTGTTGAACGCTGAACTGTAGTCTATGTTCCTCCACATGCTCCTCCTCTAGTCTATAGGTGTTAGGCCCCGACTCCACCGGGCGCGTAAAACGGACGACGGATCCGTCCAAACGTGTCCGTTGCATCTCCGTCTCTGTTATCTCCAAGGGTGCAACGGACGCGGACGGACGAAATAGAAACAATCCTATTTGTTTCGTCCGTCGACGCGTGTCGGGTCCGTTTTCCATTGAAAATGCAATGGAATAATATGTTTACCACATTATTAAACATGTATTGATAAATGCTGTAGTCCCTGGTTATAAGTGTTTGTTAATGACAATGATTATTAACAATTGTGTGTAATTTGTATCAAATTGAAATAATTGTTTCCTGATCGTAAATCTACCATTTATTATTATTATTATTTTATCTTTACATACACCTCACTCTTTTTCCTCTCGCTCTGTCCCTCTACCTCCGAGGCGCGCTCTCCTCACCGCCGCGCGCTCACACACACACACACACACACACACACGCACACGCACACGCACACACGCACACACAGAGCTGCACTTATGAGAGACAGATCTCACAACACTATATATGTTGGAGTTTTCTCTTTTCTCTCTCCCCTTTTCCAATTGCTTTCAATAAGTTTTGCCTCATCCATCACCACGTCCGTGATGCTTCAATATGCCGTGCTTTGCATAGATCATAGCCACAGCTCATGCAAATCACACACCGCTTCTTCTATTTAAAACAAAGCCTGACGGTGCTGTTAAACGCACAGCCAGAGCTGCGCGCTACTGCAGCCGGTTTGGCCACTATTCCGTTTTACGGACGTCTGACGGGCAGCAGCCAACGCGCATCAACAGAGACACGCCCGGTGGAGTCCAGGCCTTAGAGCACTTTGTGGGATTGACTTGTTGGGACGGTATGCAAACTGTAAGGGGTCAAAATACGCAAAAAATTGCAGCAACCGCCATCTTTGATTTCTAAAAGTGTCTTCATTGTCATCTGTCATCAACATCCATCTGCTCCTTCGCTGATTTCTTAATGTTGTTTTAAAATCACCATGTTATTATTTTTCATGATGTCAATCCCCAGCAGCAAAACATGGCCACAGCATTATACTACCTTCCAAAGCCAATATGACATAAATAAAATATGTTATTGAATATTAAAAGATGTGAAAATTTGGAGGGAAAAGTATTATGATAAGGTGTATGTAAACTCAGGACGTACCTGGTATGAGGCGGCTCTTCAGTGGGAGCACGCTCACACCTTGGATGGGAAACTGCAGAGGAGAGTTTGCAGGGGCCAGCAGAACTTGGGACAATACAGAAGTGCTCCTGTGGATTGACACATGCTCTTATGGCACAGACGTCCATTCATTTCATTATTATTTATCAAGAACCTCACAAAACTAGGCTTCCATAGTTTAAAGCAGAGTTTCCCAACCAGGGGTCTGCAATGGTAGTACAAGGGGTGCTTGAAATTATTTTCAAAACATGCAAATATTGATAGTGAGAGGTTAATAGGGGCTACTCATATCAAAGCAATTTTTAAACTATACCATTTATGATATATTCTAAACATTGAACATATCACACAAATGATAATAACTGCTCCCTCAGTCTGCAGTAACCAGCCTTTTTTTTTTTTTTTTCAGCCCAAGCATTTTGTAAAATGTTGCAATGTGCACGTGCGTCCAAATCACAGACTTTAAATTTCTCCTGTGTGAGATCAAAGTCTATCATATCATATAAATTAGGCGTTATTTCCCCTCGCTCTCATCACTTGACCTCCCTCCTGGCATTACATCACCTGCAGGACACGCTTCTGTTTGATTTTCTGAACTGCTATTGGTTAATCTATATCAGATCCTCCAAGATGACTGATGTTGTGATTTAGAGCTATACAAAAACCATGTGATGCGTCACCATTTGTCCCTGTCACATTGAATGAGTTATGTGTTTGCTACAATCCACTACTCACACAGGATCACGTATGTATAACTAGTCAAGGATACTTTAGTATTCTTGGGTTTCATTAAACTGTCCAGTAGGGGGCAAATGAGCAGAGGTGGGACAACTCAGTTTTGCTCCCATTGAAAACCATGTAAATCGTGTCTGTTTTGGAGTAAAAAGGCTCTCATCCTGTGCTGTTGCTGTAACAGTCTTAATCCAGAGGGGGACACTCAATTCTAAGGGAGTACTAAAAAATATTTCTCAAAAGAGTCTTGATTTTGGGCATTTTTGGAGAAAATAACAGATGAAACTGCTGCGTTTCATTCGGGTGGCCTGCAGGGGGCACTTATCTGGGAAAGCCTTGATCCACCTCGCCCGCCTCATTCGAGTGATTTTTTTCAAAATGTACTCCTTTATATGAGACCACAGTTGGAACATGGAGGAAACTCTTTTCTTTCTCTCTATTTGCGCAGTTTCTACAACCATACACCGCACAAAAAGATGGCATTTTGACTGAAGACAGCAGCGCTTCTTCTTCTACTATGTCCCCGTGAATACACCCGGCAGACTGCACCGCCTGGGCAGGTCACGTCCGGTCCTGTCCCATGTTTGCCATTTGGACCACTGCCCCGACGTCATATGAAACCCAAGAATACATATATCTGTTCTGAGAGTGAAGCTGAAATGCATGTCTAACCTGTTCTTGTGCTTCTCATACTCTTTCTTCCTCCTCTCAAACAGTTGGTCAAACTCCTCCTTAGAGATCTTCTCTTTGAGTAGTACAGAGCCTTGTGGACACTGACAGGGACCTGGGACCTCAGGGACCATGAGGAGCACAGAAGACATATTGCCAAACCTGGAAAACAAGGAACATAGTTTTCATGATGCTCTAAAACCTCTTTGAAGAGTTTCCAGCTCGTTCAGAATAGCAGCAAGGATCTTAACAGGCACCAAAAGGTGGGAGCACATAACTCCGGTGTCAAAATCACTCCACTGGCTTCTTGTGGAGTACAGAATAAAGTTTAAAATTCTTCTTTTAACATACAAAGCCATAAATGGCTTTGGCTCCTTCTTATCTTCAAAACACGTTGGTGTTAAATCAACCAAACCGAGCACTGCGCTCGCAAAACGCCAGACGTCTGGTGGTTCCTAAAGCCTAGCGTACATCGACAGAGAAACTGGAGACAACTAGTTGCAAGGCGGCTTTTGGCAACTGAGAGGAGATGGTGGGAGATGATCAGTTGCCGAAATTGGTCGCCTGTGTTCTACTTTTCGGCAACTAGTTGTCCTCCGTTTCGGAGATATGACCCGATGTGCGCGCTCCATGCGCCGCTCCGACAACGTGTGTGTAATGCGTGTATTGCGAGCCCGCAACAGTTTCTGTCAGAAAACACACTGTAGTTGAGGCCAGTTGCTGTCCATGTACGCGCTGTTATTCCCGAGACTGGTCTGCTACTGGGAGTTGCCCGTTTTCGTCAGATTGTCGATGTGTGCGGGGCAGCAACTCATATGCGACGGATATAATCAGTTGCCAGTCCGATGTACGCTAGGCTTCAGGTCTCAAAAAATACTGTCGGCGGCAGAGCATTTAGCTACCAAGCTCCTTTACTGTGGAATCAGCTTACCATCCACGTTAAGGAAGCAGACACGGTCTCTATTTTCAAGGCCAGGCTTAAAACACTTTTCTTCAATTTATGGGACTTGTATGGGACCCGGTCCGCTGCATCTTCAACCCTACGTTCTCGGCTAGGCTAAAACTGTCCTCTTAAGTTTAGCATATCAATCAATAAATCAAATATTATTTGTAGAGCGCCTTTCATACACAGGGCAACACAAAGCGTTTCACAGTCTACATCACCCAAGGCACAAATCATCACATAAAACAAACATCAGAATCAAAATTGAACATAAAAATCACAAAAAAAAAATTTAAACCATTCAAACGTTAAAATTACACGAGGAATTAAATAAATAATAAATAAATAACCACAGTACATTAAAAATAGAGATATAGTCCTTCAGTTGTATGCACAGGCTAACAGAACAGTCTTTAAACTGGATTTGAACATTGTCAGAGTAGACGCCTCACTCACATTTTCAGGGAGACTGTACCAGATTTTAGCTGCATAAATCTAAAATGCAGCCTCCCCATGTTTAGTTCTGACTCTGGACACCAGCAGGAGGCCAGTCCCTGTGGCCCTCAGAGTCCGAGCCTGTTCATATGTCACCAATGTATTTTGGTGCGAGGCCATGGAGAGACTTGTGTCAGGAATGAGACAGACAGAGACGGATCGTGGGGCACCAAAGCTCTGGAAGTTTATTTAGGTTTCTCTCAGGGTCCAGTGGTTTCAGTTGTTTCAATTTTTTTCAGACAGAGTAGAGTCAGCACATGATTTTTATAGTAATTGTTACGTCACACATCGAAAGACATACGTGTCACATTCAGCGACACTCAGAGCGTATCAAAGTCATAACATGGATACACAATCAGAGTCCTTGTAGAGTCTTGCGTTAGTCCACCTGGTAGGTCAGCTATCTAATCCTCATACTTGTACACAAGCAGAGCGGCTTTAAAGTCCACTCTCTGAGCCACAGTAAACTAGTTCAGAGACCTGAGGACTGGACTATTGTGGTTGTACTTCCTGGTTCCAGTCAGGACTCAGGCTGCTGAGTTTTGAATGTACTGCAGCTGTTTTACAGCCTGTTTGGAGACCTGTGAGCAGGCATTGCAGAGAATCCAGACCCGCACTTCCCTCCGTTACCGTATGGCTGACAATCCGGACTCAACTGTGCATATGGATGGCCGCAAGTGGGAATCGGAGAGGCAGGGGTCTGTTTGTAAACACAGACTTCTGCAAGCCAGCACACTGCACAGTGAAGAGGCGGGTTTGTTGCAGAGACATACACCATCTATGCCATCTGCCAAGGGAGTATAGTCACAGTATTGTAACAGCTGTCTCTGCTGTCTATTAGCCCTTCGGCCAAAGCTGATAATGCATGTGAGAGCCTCGTTTCCACCATGAGCAGTCTTCAAATACAGCACCCCCAGGCCCTGTTTATCATCACACAGGATTTTAATCAGATTCAGATTCAGTTTATTTGCCATTTGCAGTAAAATAAAACACATTGGAATACATTAGCAAAAAGTCTCCAGTGTGCACAGACAAATACAGACATAAAACAACATTAAAAGACAGAAATAAAACAAATAAAACAGTAAACAAATGTCACTGTGAAATCGATCGACTAAAACAGTTTCAAAACAAGTGCAAATCATTAAAGTGCTCTGTTCACACTGATAACAGCTTGTGGATAAAAACTGTTAGCGTAACGAGATGTCCTGCATCTCAGAGAGCGATATCTTCTGCCAGAGGGAAGAAGCTTGAACAAGGCTTTCCCAGGGTGGCCAGAAGAGTCATTGACAATCCTAAGAGCTTTGTTTAAAAGTCTGGATTTATAAAGAACCTCCAGAACAGGAAGCTCACGGCCCACGGTCCTCTTTGCAGAGCGGAGCACCTTGTTTAAAGCTCTCTTTTCTTTATCTGTGATGTTTCCAAACTACACAGACACAGAACCAATAAGTAAACTCTCAATGGTGCAGCGATAAAAGTTAAGCAGAATCTTAGAGTTAGTGGTAAATTCTCTAAGTTTCCGCAGGAAGTAGAGACGCTGACGAGCTTTCTTAACGACTCGGTCAGTGTTTTTAACCCATTTCAGGTCGTTAGAAAGAGTTAAACCCAGAAACTTGCACTCCTCTACGATCTGTACCTGGGAGTTGTCGATTACGACAGGCAAATGAGAACTATTGCGACTGAAGTCGTAGACCAGTTCACATGTTTTCGATGCGTTCAACTCGAGGTTGTTAGTTTTACTCCACTGAACCACATTTTGTATCTCTGCTCTATTAGAGGATTCATCATTGTTACTGATGAGACCGATGATGGTGGTGTCATCAGCATATTTAATGATCAAGTTTGAGTCAGAGGAGGACACACAATCGTGAGTGTACAAGGTAAAAAGCAAAGGACTCAAAATACATCCCTGAGGAGAACCAGTGCTCACAGAAACAACATCAGAAAAACAGTCATTGATTTTCACTCTCTGAGATCTGTCAGTTAAAAAGCTAAAAATCCATTTACACATGGCAACACTTAAACCGAGAGACATGAGCTTTTCCATCAGTTTACCTGGGACAAGGCAGTTAAAAGCAGAGCTATAATCAATGAAAAGCATTCTCGCGACAGATTTACTAGTGTCAAAGTGACTGTAGACAGAGTTCAGAGCAAAGGAGATGGCATCCTCCACACTCCTGTTCTGTCTGTAAGCAAACTGGAGCGGGTCAACACTCACAGGGATCTGGCTCTTAAGGCGCGTTCAGACCAAAAGCTTCAAAAAGCTTTTGACGCGCTTCAACTGACGCCGGGATAGTTTTGTCATTTTGGTGCTTGAAGCTTTTGACGCGAGTGACGCGCCTGACGCCGGTGGGAGGAGCTTCTCTGTTGCCTGTAGTCAGGACAGCGGTGGATTTTTCAATGAGCAGCGAGCCTTTATTTGTTAAATAAAGCAAAATAACGTTGTTGTAGGGCTTCCACAAAACATGTTCTGGGTTCACCACAGACTTGAGAGGCTGCAGTGTTTGCAGAGTTCCGTCATTTACTCCAGGAGCTGCGTACGGAGGAGTTTCGCTTTCAGCGGTACTTCCGCATGTCACTTGCCCAGTCTGAGTTCTCAAATCCCGGCTCTCGCCTCTCCCTGCCTCTCCCCGGCTCTCGCTCGCCTCTCCCTGCCTCTCCCCGGCTCTCGCTCACCTCTCCCTGCCTCTCCCCGGCTCTCGCCCGCCCGGAGCTGCCTTGCTCTGAGCCAGACCCATCGTCAGCCTGTTCTTATATTAAATAAACTACGTTTACTACACAGCATGTGTACAATGATTTTTGTTACTCAGAATGTTACTACTCATACAAATAATATTACTAATAACAATAATGACAATAAAACAGCAGCAGCAGATACATGACTTCTCTTCATGACAGAGACAGACCCTTTGCTGCTGCTGCTCCTCGTCTCCTGATTGGTTGAAGCCCGCGTCAAAGCTTCAAAAGCTCAGCTTTGCTCAACTTTGGCGTCAAAGGGATTGTTGTGATACGCGAGCGTTTCGCGCGTCAAGTGACGCCGGGGCTCTCGGCTTCACCTGACGCGCTTCACCATTCACTTTCAATGGAAACCTGACGCTTTTGACGCCGAAGTTAAGTCCGGTGTGAACGCCCCTTTAATGAAGTCCAGCACAAGCCGCTCAAAAGTTTTCATAAGAACAGACGTGAGGGCCACAGGACGATAGTCATTCAGGCATGTCACAGGAGTTTTCTTAGGAACTGGAATGATGGTCGACTCTTTAAAGCAGTTCGGCACAGTACAGTTCCTTAGCGACAGGTTGAAAATGTCTGTTAGCACAGGGGCAAGTTGCTCAGAGCACAGTTTCAGGACACGAGGAGGGATGCCGTCCCGGCCTGGGGCTTTCCGGACTATGGTCCTGGACAAGACACGCCTGACTTCCGCCGTAAAGATGGCGCCGTGGCAAGAGCTCTGGTGTGTGTGGTGCACACCGGGGTAGTCTTGCACAGTTTTTCCTATGTGGTTTTACTGCAAATGGCAAATAAATGAATCTGAATCTTCCTCCTGAGTCACGGTGAAGGCAACTTGATTGAAACACTCAGGGAATACAGTAGGACAGGCATCAGCGGATTCAAAGCGACAGTAGAACGTGTCTCCCGCCCAAGCTGTGGAACACGGACACATAGGAGGCCCTCAGAGACTGTATCAGGATTAGATAGCTATGACCTACCAGGTGG